GATAATTGTGAAAAAATAGTTCCGCGTAGTTCTGAAAATATCTCCTACCTCGATTACGCTGGGGATATCATTAGTCAGACGATCGTTCCATTGCTGTATTTCAGATGTGATTCGCGAGAGCAGCAAATTCTAGACATTGCGTGTCCTCTAGCTCGTTCAACTTTATATTATAGTCGCTTCTCACGCGAACAACAACGCTTTACGTGCAGCCAACCCGACGAGCCAATTTTCTGCCTAAAATGCGCGGATTCGAGATATCTTAAGCTCGCGATGTTAATTGTCTTATGCTTCGCCGATCGGCCGATAGAGATCGCGACATGGATGCTTGGAATAATTTATTTGGCAAAAGGAAAGGACGTTTTCACGCGACGAATTCGCGCAAATTTTTCGACAATACACAGAGACAACGGGGATATTCGATTTTGAGAGCGGGAGAGAAAAATGGTGGAGGGAGAAAATCGATGGAATGTTCTTGTTAAATCTTTAACTCGCGACGAGATAGAATGGAAGTAATGGCGGTTTTGCATTAGAATGCAAGAGTAAACGAAGCACTCGAGCGGCAAGCGAAGGAACCCATTAAAGGTACAGATTTCCAATTCGTACTTGTATGCCGCTTAATCAATTTCTCGTGCAACATACCACGTGGGGATTTCTGTACGCGAAAGACGTTTAAACTCTATCTGGCACGATGCCTATCGCGATAATTAACAGCGCGTTATACGCGACTGCGTATTGCATCGCGCGAGCGATATAAAAGAAGAAAAAAGAAAACGGAGGAAAATAAAAAGGAGGAAAAGGACAAAACAGATCGTGCATGATTAATCGGAGACGATAAAAGAAAGGCGGTGAAAGATTTGAAAAGCAAGTTGACTGGACGTCGATCGAGCGTGCAATCGTCGACAGAAACGTCGAATTAGAAATGAGGAAACAATCGAAGCGAAATGCACGGCAGTTCCGCGAGAACAGCCGAAAGGGGTGGCTGATTCGTGGCCGCTCGTCGAAACGATCGTGCGACGTCGGCGACGTTCGTGCGTTTCCGACGATTCTACGCCGGCGCTATACTACTTGCTTGACGTAGCAAGATGGCGGCGGCGTGTCGGAGGCGTCTCCGTCCGCACAGTGCTCGACGTCGAGCAGTCCGCGTACGTTCGCAACAACGTTTCACCGCATTAATGTGGTAGTGCACCCGAAGCACCGCACACGTCCGCGGCCACGGTGCAATCTCGTGTTTCATACCGTAATATCATCAACAATCAGAGAAACAACGCGTGACGACGGGACGTCGCGATCAGTGCGACCGCGACGAAAACACAAAGAGCAGTGTGAACTCGATCGTCCCGTTCGCAATAATTCTCGTTGATTTTGCTCGTGGTGCGTGCTACTTGTCCCCCCGTACCCTTCACACCTTCGTTCTTCCTCCTTCCTTTTCCCTCCGTTTCTCTCTCTCGTTTCACGTCCCTCTCTTTTCTTACCTTCTCTGCCCACGGATTGCTCGCGAACTCTGCTCGTGCACATATATATTCACGCGCGTACACCTCGTTTCTTTTGTTCCCGATCCGTGTTCCCTCTGTCCGTCCCGTTTTCTCTGTGATCGTCGTGAAATGCTCGTAACCGGTCGTGCCTCGAGACGACGACGAGGACGTGGCGCCTGTCGTTGGTGTACGGTTCCTTGACGAGCACGGGATACGTGCAAACCGGCGCATGCACTGCAGCCCCTGCTACTATGATAATAACGAGAAAGGTGGCACGGTGGGCGCTCCTCCTGAAGCGAGAGGCGCTCGGCCGAAACTACGGTGCACAAAAGCGGTTAGAACAAGCACCTCGCGGTGCCACAGCAATGCTGCCTCATTCCGGCCGGGTAGATGACAACATCGACACCGACGACACCGTGGCCACCGACCTGCACAGGACCAGCAGCTGCGTCGCGTTGGCGCTGCCGTTGCCGTTCCCGTACTATTACTACTACTACTATCCTCGTGCTGGGATCGCCGCCTCGTTGTTCAAGTCAGATCGCCGCACGCTTACCGACCGCCACGAGGCCGACTCGTTGTTACTAATCGAGAGGATCGACGAACCGCAAGTGCAATCGATTTCGTGCTTCGATTTCGCAGCATCGACCGAGCCAATAGCGAAGGAGCAACAGGACGAAGAGAAACACGGCGAACAGGAAACGGAAAGCGTGGCGAGTCCGGCAGACAAGGAAGCTATAGTGCTCGCGAGCGTGGACAGTAACCGCCATAACCGCCAGAACGTGAGAGCACGATTTTCCGCGTGACCAACAGCCCCTCGCTGTTATGCCATCTCGATGGTAATCGCGAGTGCGATTCGTGCTATACCGGCGTGGTAACGGTTACGACTGAAACGGAACGACCCTCGTGCATACAGTTTACGTCGAACGCAATAATACGTTGATCGTTGTTCTCTGATCGTTAAGTAGACCAAGTTTCCGAGATATTTTACGTAAAGTGGGGGACTCGACGGAACCAAGTACGTACATATACACACACACAGCACACACACGCACACACTTACACACTCGCACACAGGCACAGGTCCACGTATACCGACGCGCGTGATCTCGTGTTTCGCTCGTGGTGGATATCAGTGACAGTCGAATCCGCGAACAGTGTGCGCGTATATATGCGAGTCATAAATTCGTGGACGACTGGCTGCTGGCTGTAGTCGAGTTCCAAGTACGTGCAAATTCGCCGGCATTCGTGTAGAATCGGCGAGTGTAGAGCGTTGCGCGACAGGCACGCCGGGATAGCAGAGGACAACCAAGGATAATCTCGTTGTTGTGTTGGTGCACGCGTGCCGGGTGCGGAAGAGAAAAACTCGTTGCGAGAAAGGACACACGCCAGTGAATACGTAGCCGTATGCGAGTGAGGGAAAAGGAGAGTAAAATAGAAGGGAAATAGAGAACAAAGGAACGGGAGAAGTGTGATATCGGACTGCCCGTTGCATTCGTACTCCTGCCCTGAAATTTCGATTCGTGTAGCGCCATATCGCGACACACACTATACATATTGTATCCCTCTCTCTCTATCTATCTCTCTCTCCCTCTGCCGCCCACTTCTCTGTCTCTGTCTCTCTGTTTCTTTCTCTCTAATATCTACATATATATATGCATACGTATTATATACACATATACATATATATACGAGTATATATGCACGTATAAACACGCGTGTTTCTCGCATTCACACGTTGTACGTGATACAGGCGCACAGTGCGAAAAAGAAAATAGTAATATCGGTGCGGAAAGGGGGTTGTACGTCGTATACGCGAGTGTGCTCCTTCGATCCAGCGTGTCTCGTTATATAGCTGCATCGCTTTCCTACGGATCTCCACGCCACATGAAGTGTTGCTCGGCCAATTAAGCGAAACTCTCAGCGTTAAGCCGATCTACCAGAACATCTTCGAATATGTCGCTGCTCAGCGTCACGGGTGAGTCTCTCCTCCTATGTTTCTACTTTTATGCTCGCTCCGCGTATACCAGGATGCCGGCTCAAGATGACGACTGGAAAATGTTTCGTTCCATCGTCTCACCGACGCCATACATCGTCGTTTCGCGCGTCGTGTCTCCCTACCCAGCGTACATTTCGGCTCTCTCCTAACCTCTTACGCGCTTGTTTATCTTCTTCGCTCGTCTCCAACGGACCGTTCTATTTCCACGCCATCGTTCTATTTGAATTTTTATCTTATAAAACCGATGTAATTGCGTCTCTACGAGTGCCGTTCTATTTAAACGAGTTATTTTATACCGGAACGGTTTATCCGAAATTCTCCTGGAGAAGGTGAAATAGAGTTATAGAGCCGACGATAAAGTAAGGTTAGAGCAGCCTCGCAAGGATGGCTGCCTCGGAACGGCCCGAATATTTTACGGCGCCCTCATCAGATTTAAAACTTTTTTCTTGTTTTCGAATAAACTGCCGGAGGAGAGCGAATGCTTCTAAGCAAACTCGTAGAAACGGAGGAATATTTGTGGCGCGAGGGAAAAAATTTCTCCAGACGCGTAGCGAGAATATTAAATACGAAGAAATATGCGTTGATTAATGGACGTTATCGAAGTCATTCGTTATGCTAGCAATTAAACATATTCGCCGACTCACGCCGTATTTCCAGTGTCGCCAATAATATTTTAAACGTATTTCATTTTTATATAACGAACAAATACGCTTTCATCTTTCTTCCTCTTCCATTTTTTTTCCCTTTTTTTTCCCATTTCGAATCGAAAAGGCAAACGCGGTGGTATTTATTTTAGTCGCGTGTGCAGTTGTTTCCGAGATTTCTTTTTCGGAGGTTATCGGTAAGTGCGGGAAATTCAAACGCGCAGCAGGAAGCAACGGGAAGAAACTGATATTTATTATCGAATGGCCGCTCTTAATTACTTAATATTTTTCATTCGCTCGGCACTTAAGCAGCTTTTAATATGCAATTTGCGATCTTACGTCCTATATTCCGCGTGCGGAATATGCAACGAAATGTTTCGTAATTTTAATTTAATTGCGCAACTGGGTCAAACTGCTATGCCATTCGTGGACGTATAAATATTGATAAAGAAAGCAATAAAAACCGCGGAACAACGTCTGTTGACCTTTCATTATTGGATTTGTTATCGTATTCCAAATTGAAACGTTTAATACGGCCGTAACGGTTTAACATGTCGTAAGAGCGAACCTTTAAGGAAGCGTAACTCCGGATAAAGCAATCGCTATAAGCACCTCGGATAATCTTTATGGAACGGGGCAAGAGCGATTAAGGAAGGTGTGCAATTTATATAACTGTATAATTATTACGCTACGCCATCGCGAACTCTTGCGAATTCCGGTTGCAAAAATACTTGGCACTCGCGCAATTTGCATGTTCCCGTACACGTGTTACCTTTGGCTGGACCGAGAAATTTAAGACGCGAAATTAATTCTTTTTATCCCCTCCCTGCGTTTATCGCATTAGCCATAAAACCGGGAGAAAGATAGAGCTTCCCTCTTACCGCTATTTTGATTTCACCTCGTTGAATCGCGCAAATCATTCGCGAACTTTGCACTACGCACGGAATATCTCGCGCAATTGCCGGAATGACCGAAGTTAGAAATTACATTTCGCAAAACGGGCCGTGGTACAAACGTGGAAGGGGTGTCCTTTTTATTGGAAAACCATTCGAAGATGAGAATAGAGGGAACCAGGGTTAAAAGTCCACGCGATAATTCCATTGGTTCCGAGCGACGAGGTTACTTCTTTTATCTTCGCGTGTTAGATACTGGCAACTGATTTATCCCCTTTCCTAAACGAGGCTAATCAGCGGCTAATTTCTATATCCCCGTCCAATTTCACCCTTTCGTTTCTTTCTCCATTTTCCCCTGTTTATCCCATATTCATTTGCACCCTGGTCCGAGAATAGAGCTGGATCACGTTCATATTCTTATTTCGTCGAGAATCCAAGATTTCCTTCCCATTCTGACTGTGGCCTCGCATGGTCCGGCTATCGAACGATTTAACCGAGTAGTATAAACGACGAAGAGAACAGTCGCGCCAGAGGTTATTTCTGGGTCGAGTCAGACTCGATCAGTGACCGCCGTTGATACCCCTAACGTACCTAGGTGCACACAGACATGTCAGTAGCCGGTAAATCCCGCGAGATATTACCGATCCCCTCTATTCATAATCGATTGCGCGTTGCACGAAGGTAGGTGCGATCCCGGACAGTTTCACGAACGGTGGAAAAATCAATGCGTGATCCGGGCCGGCTGGCAGCGGAGGATTGGCAGCGATTCCTCGGAAGAAACGGGACGAGCTGGACGTTAAACGCGTATTATTGGCCAGGGAGTAACGAGAAGCGATTCTCGATGACCGTTTTATCTCTGTCCCATATCTGCTCATAAATATCGCCAGGCCCGTAGTCTTGCTGTTCATCTAGGCACGTAGACGCACGTGTACAGTGCGCGTAGGTGTATTCAGGTGGTAAGGTTGGTCGAACAGTGTGCAGTCGGTATACACCGATAACAAAGCGCACGAGTGTTCGTCTATGACTACGGGACGGCATCAGGCAGGGCTGGCGAAACGGGGGTGAGAGGGCGAGCAAGGGAGAGCGCGAGAGGGCGAAAGAGGAGAAAGAGAAAGAAAGAGAGCGAAAGAGAGAGCATAGTGCAACGGTTGACCCCGGTACACGGGGTCATTCCCTTCTTCAACCACCACCACCAACCACCCCACTGCCTCCGGTTCTACCGCTCACCTACCGCGTCCCTACTACCGGCTGCGCTCCTACACCCCTTCTCATCCTCGTATCCTCCACCAACGCTGCCATCACGACCACGCAACTCCGCTCTCCTCTCGCTCGCCCGGCCGCCGATGTAGCTACGAGGTGCTACGGCAACCGTAGACTCTCGTGCATACGTCGGCTGACAGGGACGATCTCAGCCGAGGCTCCACCTAGATCTTCCTTTGCCTGTCAGTCCGCCAGACAGGTAATAACTTACGAGATATTTGATTTATGGTAATGTTGATACCGACGGGTTCAAGCGTGTATCGAATGGTCAGGATGCCACCTTGCCTCCGAGTTAATGATCGCCGGTGCCAAACTCTGGGAATTTGGCCGGGTGTCCGACTTTGCCAACAATTTTGGCAGCCCAGCTTTCTCTGCTGTCTCTCTCCCCCATCTCCCATTTTGTTTCCATTCCTTCCCGGTAAATCATCCAACCGTGTACGTGCACACGTAGATTGTTTCCCTTTTTTTTTCCATCGATTCCGTTCGAATTGACAGGGAAA